AAGGACTTGTGTGTGTCCTAAGCAAGAAGAAGATGCCGCTACGCATGAAGTCTAAGATCTACACTTAGATGTCGTGAAAAAAGTCTCCAGCTATGAGGCCGAGAGCAAGAGACGACAGCTATTGATGCAAGAGCCGAGTGTCATGTAGATGAACGCTACGATGAACCTATGGCAAACACTACACGACCGAATTCAGAACGAAATTGTCCGAGACAAGGCTATAGACGGATCGATTGGCAACCCCTTTGGGGCATATTGACCCTGCTAGTCCGCTCATGTTCAACGAATATCTGGTGTCGTCACCAAATCAGCTGATGAGGTGCTTCATCGTTAAACGTCGAGAAAGTCGACCCTGTAGAAGATGGCTGGCAACGTTTTGCAGCAGGCATGCCCGCAGCTGATATATGGAACCGGGACCGCTGAGAAGCGACGGTGAAAAAAAGGCGTACGGGAGAACAGTTGGATTAGAGCCAAGGAAAGAGGGAAGAAGAGGATCAAAGCCCTTCGTCCTCCTCTCAAAATAAAAGCGAAGTCAATGGCGAAGTTTTCCTATCCTTCCCCTTCGAATGCTCGGCCAGCATGTATGGTATGAAAAATTCCTCTGGATCCACGAGAGAAGATCCGATTGACCGAAGCTTCGTAACACTCTCGCCTGGCATGCAGAGAACGAAGCCATCTCGCATGGCAATGAATTCAGAGACCCCACCGCTGCAATAAACCCAGCGAGCACTATTCCAACGAGAGGGTGCAGCAGAACATCGGACTCCATGCCGTGGGTGGAGACTTCATGCCTTGATGCTGCCATGTCGCACCTTAAGCTTGTCCTGCGAAGGCATAGCCAAGGAACGAGCATGGCAGCATCAAGCGATGAGCAATTCCACCCATTGTCTTCCCTTTGACCAACTATCCCGAGCGTTGAAGCTGCTCGGATGTTCTGAGCAGGCATTCTTTCAGTCTGCGACCCTGCGTAATGAGCGAAAGAAGCGCACCTAGGGATACCGATAAGGAGAATCGGCGGACCGGACGGGTAAAACTATCGGACGTGCGTTAGGTTATATGCATATCACGCCAGCTCTCTCATTGTCTACATGGACGTAATCGGAATCTGGGACCTTCCCTTTCTTCGTGTGCGCGATGTCCGCCCGCCGTCTCCTTTCCTGAGTCGATGCTCATACATTAGCGTCTTTCCGGTATGGATGGGAGCTCGCCAAGATGACATACCAATGCCCTCATGTATGGCAGCGACCCGATCACGTAAACGCGGTTGCAGCGCGTTCCGACGCGCCGTCGCGAGTTGATTTGCCTAGTCGTGCACATATTCCTGGGCTTCTGTAAGAAACGACCACCGGTTTCAAACCTTTCTATTATGTGTCAGTTATGTGCCTCTTTCCAGGTTATTTTCACCAATCCAGAACCATTGCGATACGACTTTTAACTTCACGACTATCCTTTTATAACCCTTCCTCATCGGCTGTAGCATAATATGTGCCCGTTCGGGGGTGGGGGAATCAAACGCGACGCGCTCAAGCGCTATTGATCTACACCTTCCTACCATTTCATGAGAATCTGAATAGTGTTGTATAATTGCCAGCAGTGCAAGAAAGATATCAATGATACAGGGTTGAACCTCCTATTCACTACAAGAAACACATTGAGTATAAAGTAAAAACAGCAAAAAGAACACGTTAACAGCAAAACCAAACTCAAAAATGAGAGCAATAATAGGAATAGAAATACGAGACCATCAATTAACAAATAGAGACGACGACCACCCTATGCCGCAGCCTTTTCTTCGGTGTCTTCCTCTGCTCCAACCTCCTCGGTGAGAACGATTTCTGCAGGGATTGGCTCATCGGCATCATCTACGGCCTCAGCAACGGGCTCTTCTACCTAAAACATACAAAATACGACATCAGAAAATATGAACAAATCGAAAGGAGCGTTACCTTGGGTTCCTCGACACGCTTTGGTGGAGGAGGTGGTGGTGGGCAGGCTCTTTCCACAGCTGATAAAATACGATCAGCATATCTCTTACAATCGGATAATCCGTTCTTGAGCGAAATATTCGAATCCAAGGAGGACTGAAACCAAATGATCAGGGACCTAGTCTTGCTATCTAGACAAAACCTGTGCACAATTGTACCTTGAGGGCACTGTTGCTCTCGTCCAAGCGCTTCCGGTTCTTTTCAAGGTCCCTTTCCAGATCTCTGATTTTCTTCTCGAGGTCGTGCTTCGTCCCGCGAAGTTGTTCTTAAGGAAAAAAGTAAAAAGCTTTCATAATGTTGTAGCGAAGTGATCAAGGCTAACCAATGAGTGCAGTGTGTTCGGCCACCAAACTTTTGGCCTGGTCGCGTTCTTGTTCGCTCTTCTTCAACAACGCCAGCTTTTGGGCTACATTGACGACGTTACCATTGATGACCACTGTCCCCTCAAATTCGGACATCTGAAAATCTCTGTTGTGCAGAGCAATATGCAAATAGGATACAAAACGACACGCCCGCTCAGTAAATGAGGCGTTCAGACTTCACGCGGTAGACGCGAACGGCCAGCCGCAGACGGACCGACCATCAGCCGCTTGTATTTTGAGAGAGTGCAGGATAATAAGAGGGTAGGCGCTGTCTCCACACAATCTGGGGTAACGGGGCTCCTGTCAACCAGACGTGCTCTCGCTGCGAGGGTCCAGGGGTATTTTCTCGAGGCATCTACCAGTCCAGTAGTTGAGGGAGAAGGTAAAGGAGGAGGGATCAGAGAAGGGAGGAAGGAAAAGAAGGAAGGAGGAAGAAAAAGGAAAGAGAAGAGAGGCTCCCCGGTTGACAAGTGCCCTGAGAACGTGGTACCCTCCTACTCCTCTATACTTTCCCACAGCCCTAGCAGCCTGTCCCGATCGATACCAATGTTCGATTATGCAAGGCGCACCCTCCTATTCCCCATACCGTCTCAAAACACAAGCGGCCGGCGCCTATCGAGTCCGGTCTGCGGTTGCCTTCTAGCACTGGAGCGTTGTTACAACTGTCGCGCGTCGACGCGCGTTACAACGCGTCATCGCGAAGTCTGGATGCTGCCTAACCAATATACAAAGGAAACTTACGTGTACATCACCGTTCGTTTGAGGAAGCGAGTTTCTGTACGCTT